TCTGTTATAATTCTTTAGTATATTACTTGTGTGGTGTAGAAGAGAATTATTTATAATTATTTACTGCTTGCAAACCAATGATGGTAAGATGATGTCATGGGGTAGGACTGGATAAGTCTGACTTCTTCCTACTCCATTCAAGCATGTACTAGGTATAAGCACATTGATATTGATTAGCATTTGTTGGATATGTGTAAAATTATGTGTGTTGATATATCAACTGTCTTTACATGCTTGAAAGAATAAATCAAATCAAAAAAGTCTTACACTTGTTTTCTTAAGCTTGTCCTTAGTAAATAACGTAACAGAGTGAAGATAACGTTCAGAGTGACATTATCGTTATCATTCCAGTGTATGTTGCGTCTCACCAGAGCGTCTTCTATCTCTGCAGTGCCCAGACGATGACCGCTGACGTTAATGACGTCGTCCATACGCCCGGTGATCTGGTAATACCCATCCTCCGACCGGTACGCTCCGTCACCACTGAAAAAATAACCTGAGAGAAGAAACTGCTCACCGACTGGCTAATGGGCCGAATAACTGGGTAGTGCGTTTGATTTTTACTGACCAGGATACGGCTTGAAATAGGCATCGACGAATCTCTGGTGGTCTCCATAAATGCTCCGAGCCATTCCAGGCCACGGCTGGCTGAAACACAGGGCTCCACTCACAGAGTTACCAGACAGAGCTTCACCCTAACAGTCACACCACAGGACAGACAAGACACAGCAGTCAAACATACAGATGAAGAAAAACTCAGGACAGTGTCTGAAAAACGCACAAAGGCACTAAATCCAAGTACGGTCTGTAAATCAGCCCCGCCTGCCCCCTAGCCAAGGTTAGAAGAAGGGTTTTTCCAGCCAGTAGTCATGTCAAACAGCCATGGAGGAGCTCTGGGCAGCTAAAAGTCTGAACCAGCAGCTGTCAGAGTGAAGAGGTGGCGTCTTTAGCACAGAGAGAGTGGGACAAAGAAAGAGCAACAACCAGGGTTAACATGGGTTTGGCTGTTTGACATGGAGAGGGTTAAAAGCAGCCAGAGGACTCAGACTGGATCCAGATGTGGCCTTCTTCCTTCTGGATGTGTTAGCATCTAAAGCTAACCTGTTTGTTTTGGTAGCATTAGCCACCTAGCATGGTCAGGATTTTACCTTTGTGTTGAATTGATTTTAATTTGGGAGGAACTGGAGCTTTGTGTAACGTCAGCACGAACCGGAGGGTCCTACTGGACTGACTCGTTTACTGTTAGCCAGCTAACGCTAGCTTCAGACTGGAGGCTGCAGGTTTGAATCCAGTTCCAAGTTGGTAAAATACCCAGAAGCTTTAGGGCCAAACAAATCCCTTACAGAGCTTGTCTTTTAGTTTAGTTTATACGCTGGCCTCTGACACAACAGATATCGTTTTACTGAGCTTGTCTTTTAGTTTAGTTTACACGCTGGCCTCTGACACAACAGATATCGCCACAGAAAAAGACAGAGAAACTCACGGTAACTCGGCAACACAGTTGTAAACATGATGGTAATGAATGATGAAAACCTGTGAATGCCTGCAGATTACAGCTCTTTAAGTGAGGGAGGGAAACGTGGAAATTTACAGATTATTAATCTGGGGCAGCGTCAATCATCCCAACAGAGTCTGAGTCTGTTAATCAAAGCAAACAGATGCCACTGGGCTGTTTCATGGACAGATTAAACAGAGACAGAGGGCTCTTGTTGAAGGCTCCTATGACTTCTTACATCGAAAGGTCAAGTGGGATTAATGAGAGAGACACTGATGCTGAAGCTGATTGGATGAGAGCTCAGCCTGATAGACCCTTGGAAGATCATTTGCATATTCCCCTTTATTTTGTATTTGTCGTTTGCATGTTGTGTCTTTAAAAGCTTATAGTATTCTTTCTCTGTCAACAAATCTCATGTGCAATGTGCAGTGATGCTACCAACGTGTTGTGTGTACATCCACAGCCTGATATACATGGAAGGATCACTAGAAGGGCAAGCTGCACACAGGTCTGCAGCAAGACTCAGAACAACCACAGATGCTAAACTACTCCCATGTCTGTGCAGCAAATAAGAAGCTACAGCCAGCAGCTGGTTAGCTTAGCTTAGCATAAAGAGTGCAAACTGGTGGAAGCAGCTAGCCTGGCTCCATGGAGAGGAAACAATCATCCTCCCAGCGCCTCAGACGGCCCTTGATTAACCCTTTCTAGCTCATGTGTTTAATCTGGACTGAAACCACCAGTTTGCTGTTGGACCAGGTTCCTGTGCTGGTTTTTCTCCAGAGACAGGAAAAGAGCTTCTGCCGCACTGCACGCTATAGCCTGGGACCAGTATCAGCGGAGAGAACGATAAGCGTTACTGTTGAGATTCTGGTCTGGGCTCCACTCAGTCACTGGCCATTTTACACATTTCATCAGAAGTCTAAGGCTGGTCTCCTCAGGCCTCAGGCTCAGACCTTGTTTTTCCCATTTTCTAGTAAACTGGTGTTTAGTTTCTGTGTATCTCTGCGCCTCAAGTCACCTTCTCATCCATGACGGCAGGCTGGACACCAAAGAACGGCCTCATGGCCATGGTCGGGAGGATCGTGGCTCCAGGCTCTGCAGGATGAGGGGCGATGCAGACCCCACCGGTCTCTGAGGAGAGAGAAGCCAAGCATTAGGAAATTCTCCATTCTGTGTCGCTACAGTAGTTTGTCAAATGTCTAACACACCTGCAGGAGCCGGGTTGTGTCTGTGACACTGAGCTGATGGGAAACTCCTTCCATTACACCTTTGTGTCCCATCACTGCCGTTTTGTTTCATGTCCGCATTTAGGTCCACATGACCAAACGGTAACAGTGGTTCTACAAAGCACCATGACAACAGCAAACCGGCCTTTTCAGACTCACACACAGCGGAGGCCGTGTGAGAAAAGCTCCGGTTTCAAGGCATAAACACACAGTTTTGGACTGGACAAAGGGTCAGAGCAGAGAGCAAAGAAGGAATTTAGCCGTCTCAATGTGGACATGGTCTTCACTGTTTCTTAAAAGCCGAACCAGGGGCAGGGGCAGCAGATTCGCTTTAGCTTGACCCCCTGTATACTTCCCATCTGCTCTGTGCTGCTTCTCTGCATGGTCCCTGTCAAATACACAAACAAATCTAGAACGTAAAATGTGCATTTTTTTAATTTGCACAGTGCAGACCAGTGTTATAAAGTGTCTGTTGTTGGCTGAGGTGTGTGTGAGGTGTGACAGTGTCTGTGTGAATAAACTACTTGTCTGGACCAGTGTCTGAAATTACCTCAAACTTTGTGCTACATTTGGATGAACAAATTTTTGTCCTATTATTCATTCTCTTTTTGTGGTACATGAACATGGGAGATCTGCCGCATGGTGTCTGAATGCGAGTACTGATGTTCTCTGAGGAAACAGGAGGAGCTCACAAGGAAATTGAGGGATTCTTGGCCAAGACGTGTGGATGTTTCCCCTTACGAGGAGGCCACAGACGCACAGACAGGAAGTGAGGGCTCAGTGGGTACGAGCTGCAGGGAACACCGGCTACACCGACACACAGTCAGCATGTTCCCATCTGTTCTGAACATAGAAACTGGCCTTTCCTTCTCTACTTTTTTACTTTTAGCAGGAAAAAACAGCACTGCAGTGAACAATGTTAGCAGCTATGGGTCTGACCTGATTCCAGCTGAGGACAAAAAACTGCACAAACAAGAGAAGTGATAAAACAATGAAAATAAATTAGACAATAATTTGTGTTTCGACATTTCTAATGTGATGAGGACTCGGGTCTAAATGTCACACTCGCCAAATGGCACAAAGTGAAGAAGAACAAGGGAGAAGACTTAACTGACAGGGCAGACTAATACCAGTAAAACCAGTAAAAGATTTATGGCAGTGAAGGGTGAAGCGCTGCGCACTGATTAGGTCAGGACACTCAGCAGCAGAGTTTCCATGTTAAACTGGTCTGTCTGTAATGTGCAGGGATGTCATGTCTAACAGGATAGGTGAGAAGGGCAGTTCCACCTCTCGGCCACTAGGGGACGTCATGTGGTGCCTTTAAGTGCAGCTTTAATTTCCTGTAATTTCTTAATTTACTGGGGATTTTTCTCCTTGTCAGAGGAAGAAGCAGCTGGCTGTGATTTAAAAACAGCACACACACTGAGTGCCGTGACTGTTGAGGAATTAGGTCGCTGTCAGTGATCCTCGGCGGTCCAGTCCGGGGGCGGGGGCCGTAGCTGGGGCTCAGGGGTGTTAAGTGTGGTGAGGATTTGATCTTGATTCATTCTACAAAGCTGCAGATGTTCTGCTGCTAATCGCTCCAATTAGAGTCAAAGGGAGACGCAGACTGAATAAGAAGCAGCTCCACAGTACTTAAACTATAAGGTACTTATACTTTTCATAGTATTTCACACTCCCACTTCACCACATGTACTCACTGTCCTACAGTACTTTTCTAGGGTCTAAGTGAAATCTGGAGTTGTGTGTTGTTTGTGTATATGGAGCTGATGGTAACTACCTTTTATACTTATACTGGGAAGTACTTTACATCCTACTGGGTAGCTGGTGGATTTCCTACTGGGACCAATAGAGTCTGATGGTTCTACTGGGTTTGGTTTGATTCATCTGGTTCTGGACCTGAAGTTATCAGGTAGATGTAGTGCCAGCACTGGGAGAAACCCTGTTAATGTCCAGTATGAACTGGAGCAACGAGTCATTAACAAGCAGATGTTTCCATTAAAACGTCTCCACTGGTTTAATCTGAAGTTTCCTCTGGTGCTGCGACACTCCCAGTGTTCACCTGTGAGTGCCTCACCTGTCTGCCACCAGGTGTCCACTACAGGACAGCGTCCATCTCCGACCACACTGTGGAACCAGTGCCAGGCCTCGTGGTTAATGGGCTCGCCCACTGTATACACACACACACACACACACACACACACACACACACACACACACACACACAGCATCTTTAATCAGGAAACAGGCTGAAAGTCCAGAATGAAGGAGTGATCAGTTCACCCCCTCTACAGACATATTGTTACCTCACTGCTGTGTTTGTTAAGAATGATGGAGATTTCTCAGTTCTAACTAGTTACTTGCACTTCAGGTATTTTCTTTATTGGAAGTACTGACAGGTACCATCAGTTTGTCAGTACCGGTCCAGGTGTGTGTGTGTCTGACCTGATGCCAGCATCCTCAGAGATGAGCGGTCGTACTTCTTCACCCAGCTCTCGCCGTACTTCAGCAGCAGACGCAGAGCGGTGGGAGCGCCATAAAACTGGGTGATCGCCAGACGCTGCACCGTCTCCCAGTACCTGCCTGAAGGACAACAGTACTCAGAGCCTGTACTGAAGTAGAAGTAACACACTGTGACAGTACTCCACAGCACATTCAAGTATGTACTCCAAGCACCAAAAGTAAAAAAACTTGTTCCAAATATGGCGTTTGTGGATGAATATTACAGCTGCATTAATGTGTAAGTTGAACTTTACTGCTGCAGTTGTTTCAGGCTGACTGGCGTGACCGTCTATGAGCTGTGGGATGTTTGCTCTAAAGCAGCGCATCATGTGCTGCATCACATGCTGGTCCTGTGACAAGCACAGACAGTGCTTCTGGTTAGAAAAGGTCTTTAAGTCAAGACCAGTCTGGAAGATCCAGAGACCCTTCAGATTAAAGGGCACGTCTGCATGTCACCACAGAAGTCAGAGTCTGGTGTTTCCACAGCAACATCTGGTCCAGCTGCACACAGCTGATGTCCATGCTGAGTCCTAACTGTTACCAGCTGTGAACCTCATGCTGGGGAAACTCTGCACACTCAGAGCCAAGAATGGATTCCACCAGGTCCCAGCAGGTTCTGGGTCCAACGTCACAAAGTGAAAGAGGCTGGTCCCTGCAGCGGTCCCATCTTTACTGCCTATCAAATAGCAACAGAATTTCTACAGTTCAAACTGCTGTAAACACACTGACCCTAAAGCCAAGTGTTTCCCCTTGAAGGGCCACGATGTGGAGGGCTTTCCAGAGTCTCCTCAGATGTTTTAGTTACACAGAGACAGATAGACGTCCCCCATTCCTGTGTAAGCTGACCTCACTGAGCTCATCTCCCACTTGCAGTCTCTGATCCCAGACAGACGTCTGGAACACTTGTAAACAGTTTGCAGAGGGAAATGAGATGAACAAACTCTGCAGGCTGAATCCACAGCTGCTGGAAACTCGCTGCTGAAGGATTCACTTTCTAGCACATTCTACCTTCTTACCAGACAGTTGATTCAGAAACCACTCTCCATGCTGTTGTGTATTTCTGAGTTTAACCTTTGTGCTGGCCCAAACAGGCAGCAACACAGGGTCAGACAAACACAAAAACATGGCACCCTCTCTTTAGTCAATGCTAAAGCATCAGTGAATCCAAATCAAACGTCTTTACAGACTGATACTGACACAAAGATGTGGACGCAGCAAAGCTGCGACGATCCCATGTGTATGGGGCTAAATAAAAAACCAAGTAAGAGAACACCATGACATGTGAGTCTTTCCCTTCACTTCTCCGTCGTGTTCCTCTGGACCTGCACCAGGGGACAGTGTTCGGTCAGGGTAGTTCAGAGCCATGAGCAATCAGAGCTCAGACACAGGGAGTCAGCTCTATGGCAGCAGGTAATAAAGCAGCGTTAATCAGAAGCCAGAAGAGAGTCCCTGTGTTCACTCATGACTGACAGAGCCATTAGAGGAGCAGGTGACGCTTCATCACAAAGGTTCATGTTAAACTTTACCTACAGAGCCCACACACAGCAGAGGGTACAGGTAGTGCCAGTGTTCAGAGCTGGCGCCTCCAGTGCATCCCACAGCGTGAAGCCTTAGAACCTGGTTGTGAATAGTGAAACCCTGACCAAAGATGTTTTGGACCTTTAGAAAACCATACAGACAGAATGGTTTTCACAGCCACACCGCTCAAAGCGATGATGTGTGAGCTCAGGGGGTGTCACATCTGTGCTGCTCTGTTCTCCAGCTAACACGGGTCAAGTTCAAGCCAAGTTCGGCACTTTTCAGGACTTTTCCAGACCTGCAGGTTCTGTGTTTTCAGGTCAGTTCTTGTGTCATGGGGAAACCACAGAGTGCGACTAACTGAGCAGATAATACTGGTCCTGCTTATGGCTGTAGGTGTTGTCCAGTGTCACCAGTTAGCACAACAGTATCAGCCACAGCAGGCAGACAGTTACAGCCTGTTATCGCCCTGCAGTTCTCAGTGCATCTCTTATCTCTGCTGCATTGACAGGGTGTTGTCCACTAGCTTTAGCTCCTACTGGGCACAGGTCTGGGGCCCAGGGGTTCAAGGGGCCCCTGGTGAGCCTCTGAACGAGGAGAGTGTTAATATTTCTTGTTGGAAAGTCAAACAGCTACAAAGAGACACCAGGTACCTCCTGCCGCTTTCAGCCTGGGGCTCCTGCTCTTAAGCTATACAGGCGGCCGGGGCTCTTTGTGTGCACCCAGGGGCCCAGTGTGTCGTACTCCGCCCACACCTACTGTACATGCACTACATCTGCTGCACTCTCTGCCGTGTAGCCAGTCTCCAGTTGTGGGTCTTACCTGGGTTTGGGTACACAGGTGTGCTCTCAAACAGGACGGTGGTGGCGCCGTTACACAGAGGACCGTACACCACGTAACTGTGTCCTGTTATCCAGCCGATGTCGGCCACACAGCCGAACACGTCTCCGGCCTGGTGATCGAAGACGTACTGCAGCAACGACAATACAACAGTCCTGCAATGACATGTTACTGCAGTAAAAGTAATAATACCACAGTCAGAGTGCTCGACTATAAAGCCTCCTTCACGGAAAACCCTGAAATCATCTAGACCTGGGGGGAGCTGTATGTGACAACGCAAACACCAGAGTCAGTCGCGCCGAACCTTAAGCGGACTTTGCTCTGCCGGCCCCCAGTACAAAGTCTGCATATGGTCCAAGTGAGCCTGAGTGAGAATACAGCACCTTAACTAACCACGAGGCCTGGCACCTTCCATAGCACTCACACGGAGCTAGTGGGCGTGTTGATGACATCCTGTCATGTGACCGGCATGAACCAGAACAGTACGCACAACCAATGTGGAGGAGAAACACTCATTTACAATGAAGACGCCAATGAAAATATCAAACTGGAGACATGATGTGATTCAGGAACCTCCGTCTTTGAGCCGGCACCAGAACTGTCAGACAAGGCAAGAGACTCGGTTATTTATGACCAAATTACAAAGTGATCACCATTTTCACTCTGCCTCATCCGGACACTACTGTCTGGATCAATTGATCGACTGGCTGGCTTCAGCCCTGGAGGAGGCAGTGAGAAGTGCATCGCGCTGTGTGTGAGCAGCAGTCAGACGTAACAAAGGCTCAGTTTACTGTGACTGAAGATGAGGACAAGCCACAGATCTCACTGCCGACACAGGGCACAGCTACACACTGTTCACTGGTAAAACAGGTTTCACTTTCTGTTGACTGACTCATTGATCCACTGGTCATTTCTGTTTAATGTCTATCATGTGGTTTAATCTATAACAGCATCTTTTATAAACTCAGATGTTTGATGCAACATCTGGCATAAAGGTCACCCAGCAAACACAGATGTCCTAAGACGTGTAACTGGGGGTCCGAGTCCCACGTGGAAATGTGGTCCACTGAGGGGCCAGAACAAAAGTTTCTGCAATGTCTTCCTTGGACATCTTCTGTGCATTCAATTTGGATGTCCATCAGATGTTTGTCACAGATCTGGGCCACCTGCGTATGTGCTCATAGATTCCTCTCTGACCTCTGACTGTGCAGCGCCGTCAGAAAGGTCAGATCAGAATCCATGTGGTCGTTTTAACGTCTCCTCCTCTGCACATACTGCCTGTCGTCATCATTCGGCGTCGGTCCTTCACAGACCGGTAACAATAAACATGGAGGAGAGTGATGACAGCGACGGGGTCAGTGGAGAGACCAGGATGTTTATGGAGAAGCTTCTGATCAGGACAAACTAGGAGGAACATGTCGTAACCCAGTGGTTTGGGAGGAAACTGGGCCATTTGACTGTTGCACACACGACCTGGTTGTTATTCTTGTGCACACGTGGCTCACATTTCAGTTACATCTGTGCATGTGTGGCAGTTTAGGAGCTCAGCGGAGCCGGGTACAGGGCCCTGACACACACGGACGGGAAGCAGCGACACAAGGTCAGATCCAGCTCAGACATCAGGACTGAGCGTGAAGGCCTGGGATGTGCACGCAGCCTAAAGCTGTCAGATAAATGTACTGCAGTAAAAAGTTCAATTCTTCTCTCTGAACTGCGGTGGAGTATCAGTCTAAAGTAGCATGGAATGAGAGAAATACTGGGGTAAAGTACAAGTACCTACTGTACGTACAGTACTTGAGTAAATGTTCCTACTGGATTAAATCAAGTGAAGGTGCAGAGAAACGTGGGATGAGAAGTGTCACCCACACTACACACTCTGTGCTGTGAATGGCTGAAGGATTTACT